TTGTCAAAAAAGAATGTATTATGTAGAAGAAGGGAAAATATTGGCTTGCTGAGAACGGAGTGTGGCATGGTAAGTATTAGAGCATACCATCTTACTATGAAATCAACCTTTAAGAACTGAGTCAGAAAGTAGGCTAATAAGCGCACTCGATTTGAACAATAATGTTATCCCAGGGGCTTGAGTTCAAATACGGCAATAAACATCTCTTTAAATGCTTTTGCACTGTTGTGTTAGGAACATAAAAAGTTTGTTCAAATATCATTTCAAAAGAGCATTATGGTTGAAGTAGACATCATTAATGTCTGATAGAACACGAACATCAATAAATAAAATGTTTCTGAAAGTATTTATAATCAGCATTTACTTTGTGATTGACATTTTTGTTTTGATAGTAGCTAATTAACGGGTTCGTGACAATTTCTTATTTGTAAGTGATGCCAAAACGTAAAGATTTTATGTTTGTCTGTCACATAAACAGCACGCAATTAAGGAGCTTCTTGTCTATGTTTCGATGATTTATTGTATTAAAAGGCGGGTTTGTTTTTCAACTAGACATCAATGTAATTTCCACAGTATTACATAATGGTCCGAGAAAAGCACGGGAAACTATTGTAACGGCCAAGCTTTAAATATAAAATATCCATTTACTTAAAAAATCCTATTTGAATTGTTTATAAAAAGATAAAACAGTTCCCGTTCGTGCATTGCCCCTGTGTCCTCTACTGTTTTTGTTTGTTGCCTGTTAGGCTCCTTGCCGGTGGTCCGGTGTTGCTGGGGGTTGCGTTTATTGGATGCCGTCCTTCCTCGTGATCTATGTTTTTATTTGTTCAATTGTAATAAACAAAAAATATGTAAATCTGTAGCTTGGATATTGATGTTTCGAAAACAAGATTGTTCAATATAACTTATTCAGGGCATTTAAGTTAGGTTGTTAAAAATATATAATACATTTTAAAACAAGAAATATATGTCTTAACTTAATTGCACTTAAAAGCAAATGTACCAGTTTCAGTGTTGTTATATTTTCTGGTCCTTCGGGATCATTGAAGGCAGCATTAAGTGTTGTGAGTACCGTTTATGCCGGTACTAGGGGGCATAAGGGATATTGCACTTATTTATTATCCCTCATGTACATACTCAATCAAACCGAGTCTGCAATTTTCATGTATTTTTTTGTGACTAATGCTTCCGAGGATTCACTTTGTTTTTAGATTTTTAGTAAGCAAACAGTGTAAAGTCATAATTGTCAGTAGATAAAATATGATAAACAAGATTAACAAGGAAAGGCGGCGTTCAATGAACGCATGCATAAACTTTCTAAATGGTGTTTTTTCCGTTTCAAGTAGTTATAAATAAGATGTAACATAGAAAACATTAACTTTGTTATAACGTTTGGAAATAGATTTGGTAGTTAACAAGTCTAATTCAACACAAATATCATTAGAAATAAAACATCTTGATAATCAAAGATTTTCAATTTGTCTGCTGTCAATGTGACACGAAGTACCTGCTTAAAGTACTTGTAATTTAGAGAGATCACTGTTAATGAGTAGTGCCTAGCGAACTGTTAATTAAAAACGTCTACTAAACGTTCAATATACTATACATTTAAAAGAAGGCACAAAGACAATTTTCTATGATGTAGGTCAATATGATGTACCGCAATTGAATGTGTTTGTCCGACATGTGAATAGTCTTACATTATCTTTTTTACAGTTTCTCTCTGATGAATTGGAGTTGCACCTTTTCTATAAAGATATCTAAGTGACGCAAGCAGACACCATAAATGTCTCTCGTGGTATGGATATTGATCTATAAGCACAAACAGACAAGTTTTTAACTCCTGATGATTACCATTTACCGCCTGATTGGCAGTTTTGTTTTAATGAATACTCATTAGCCAGTTCGTGACGTCTTCCTATTTGTCGAGGATGTCGGAGTCTACTAAAGTCTTCATGTTTATATGTCACATAAAAAGCTTGTGATGAATGAAATATTCCATTATATGTTTTATTATTATAACAATGTCATGGTGCATCTGTGGGTAAAATAAGATTTTCTTTAACATTTAAAAAAAACTATTGCTTTAACAATCGCCGTAAAAACAAGATTGTATTTGTGAAAAATGCTATGTCACCGCATTAATATAACAGAAGTAGATTTTGTTTTTGTTTCTATATGAATTTTGCCATAATGCAGTAGTGTCTAGATGTCATAAGATGACAATGTGCTGATGATACAAATGCCATAGTGCAATAATTGATTAAAAAACAAAAAATAGGTATTTACTGTATAAAACTTTGAAATACAGATACAATTACTAAAATTTTATTTAAGCATTGCCATTTTCTAAAAACATGACAATCATTTACAATTTTTGAAAAGCATACATGGTGTGAATCATTTTGCCCTTAAAATATGCTCAAAGTGTTTTATTTATCATCCCGGCAATACTCTCTTGCTAGAGTTCATTACCTCTAGTCATTTCACAAATATCTCTGAAAAGCAATCATTTCTCTTCCTAGAGGTCATGACCTTAAGACTAACTCCAAGCTATTGAATCTTTATATAGAATTATTATCTGATCAAAATATAGCTGTTATCTCATTAGTCCAAACAGTAGCCAACAAAACTTTTTATAGAATCATATTCACCGGGTGTAGTATCATATTCACTGGCTGAATTGGATTTTCCCATGCAGTCTAAAAATAGATTGAGATTCATATTCAATGACTGTTAATTCCGTGTGCTTATTAAAAACAAATTGTTGCGTTTTGTTCTTTATGGTACATTTCTCGATTAAAATATAATTCCTTTACTATTATAGTTAAAAGTTACACCGCCATGATGAATATAAACTTGAATTACTTTTGTACAGCGTTCGCGTAGTTGCACGCCTTACACGCGTCTTTTTTCATGCGCTTCAACGAAACAGGCAAAAATTGTATAAGGTTGTACATTCTGTGATCTTTTTAATTCTTATAGTCATTCATATAATAAAACAATTATTGACTACTGTGCCATGGAATATCATGTGATATTCACCGACAGAAAGTCCCCTCGGTCATTATGTAATTTGCCGATGAATATCACATCATATGCAATGGCACACTAGTCAGTAATTTTATAATATTGCATAACATATATAAAATATATAACATATATAAAAGACATTTCAATAAATGTTGTTTTCCGTTCAGACAAGATGATCTTAGATTCTGTATGTACAAAATGAAAATAAAAGACCCCCAGGACAGGGCCAAAATTTGACCCCAGGGCTATAATTTGAGCAATCTTGGTATAGCTTCACTACACAATATTTAATGCCAAATATCTAAACAGTATCCTTTGTCAATTCAGTAAAAAGTCTTTACTAAACCTATCACTCCCGACGCGGGCCAATTTTGAAACTAGGGATAAATATGAACATTTTTGGAAGAGGACCTTTAGATGATATTAATACCAAATATCAAAGCCCTAAGCCTTGTACCTTCAACAATAAGTTTTTAAGTTCCTACTATATGTACGTAATGAAAATCAATGACTCCTTGGGAGGAGTCAATTTTGACCCTATGCCTATAATTTGAACAATCTTGGTAGAGGTCGAATAGACAATGCTATATGCAATATATCTAAACTCTAGGCGTTGTTGGTCTTTATAAGATTTTCTTTTATAAAACTTTTGGTTGCCATGGCAACTAGAGTCCTGCTTGGAATTAAATTGTTTGAACAACTTTGGAATACCTCCACACAAGGAACAATCCAAGTTTGGTTGAATTTGCACTTTTTAGGAGAAGATTTTTAAGTTCACTAGTTAGGGATAAAGGACTCAAATGGTCACCGATAAGAATAAGTTTTTCATCACTTGTTTTTTCTTTCCTAGATAGTATAAGACATTTATTTTTCAAATATAAGAAAATGTCACCATCCGATTTTTTTTTATAATTATTATATTTTTAGTGCCACACCCCGTCTTTAAATTTTTGCCCCTGGATTTAGAGGAATTTTTGCATTTGAAGCATGATTTTTTGTAAAAACTTTCTATGTCTTTGTTTACATTTTGGACCTCAATGCAATTCTCACATAATTATGTTGTGATTAATGCTTCCGAAGGATCACTTTGTTTCCAGATTTTTATGTACATTTTTATGACTGTCATACTTTATCCTTGTATATCGTGGCTTACTCCTATAAAAATGTTAAAATCGTTAAAAACACTTAAAAAATCAGTTGCTTTAACAAATGTTCTTCAATGGAACTAATAACAAATTTAAAATACTTTACATTTAAAAATCTGAAAACAAAGTGATCCCTCGGAAGCATTAATCACAACAAAATTACAAGAGAATTGCAGACTCGGTTTGATTGTGTACATGAGGGATAATGAATACGTGCAACATCCCTCACGCCCCCTAGCACCGGCTTGAGCGGTACTCAATTTTCAACACTCAATAGTGCTGGCACCAATGATCCCGAAGAACCAGAAAAATATAACAACACTGAAGTGAAGTACAGGGCAACTTTTTACAGCTGCCACACAGCACTTGACACCTGCTGTTGTGAAGCATAAAAATCTGGAAACAAATTGATCCCTCGGAATAAATAAATTTGCAAAAATATGAACTTGCTTAAAGAAGACCATTTACGGTAGTATTATATTACTAATATAAGATATTTATTTTTAAGTTACTCGAGATTGGGACTAGCTAAAAGAAACAGGTTTTATTATTTTGTTTTGCCAGGTCGCTTAAAGTGCATTTAACAAACGCAAAGATATTGAAGAATAAAATTCACTGGCCAAAATTAGAATAATAATGTACAGACATGTTTGACGATTATATTTGTTTCTTCATTTTAAAATGCTCAGAAACATTATAAACCTAAATGAACATTGACGATGTTTTATATGGTAAAATATTTCGTTTTCCTTTTATATATTTGTCCTCATTTATTTACAAATAATTGACTTTTAATGAACTTTCGTGCATTTGTATGTCTCACACTTTCACTGATAAAGCCTTATCAATTGTCGTCAAATGAATTTCATAGTTTTTGACGATGCATATTCTTCTACTGGGTAAGTTTTGCCAAAGTCTATCATAAATTTGTTTATAAAACATTCTGTTGGTAGATCAAAGTATATATTAAAGTGTGATATAATGTTTTGATTACCAATTCTGTAATAAGATGAAAAAGTATAAAGTGTTCACTATTGATAGTACACAGACACCAGAATAGTTTTATGCGCAGATTTTTATTGGCTGTGAATAAAATTTTACTCCATAGATGTGAGTTGAATATAAGTTTTGCTTTATACTTTAAATTCTAGGAATAAGTTTGCTACTTCACCTGTTACAATTTGATCACGTATGTAAGTATATTCTTTAGATTATTTTTAAACTGTTGCTGAACATATGTAAACAACCGAATATAGTAAATTTCTGAATATCAGCACCATTATCAATTATGAACGGGCCTTGTATTTTATATTAACAATTTTATTGAAATACTCAATATAAAAAGTGATCGAAATGGAAGTATTATGTCACATTTTAGGACTTTTATGTTGTAGAAAAATATATCTCCTATGAACAATCAATTCATAGGTGATTGGCAGAATGCAAATGGATATTGAGAATATTTGAGTATAAAATTGTACTTCTTACTAACAGATACTTTGCATTGCTACACTTGCTCGAACATTGATGATGTAAACGATTGTCACACAGTAACAGAATGCTTGACAGGCCAGGTATGATGCTTTTGGCTATATATAGAGTAAATTTCAAAATAAAAAAAATCATTTGATGCGTAAATTGTTCCTTTTTCCTCCTAAAAATGGCAACGTATTTAAGCACCACTGTAAAATGTAAATGTTCTACATGATTTTTTGTTTGTTTTCAAAATACTACATTGATTCAAATTTTATTTTACATCTTCAAATGGATGACCTGAAGATTACAATAGAAACTGGGAAAATAAAAAACTAAACATCATTATGCAAATTGAATAATTAATAAATGCAAAAAATAAAACTTAACTTATATACTAGGTTTATTCAAAAAGTTCTGATACTAAAAAAATAACAGAAAAGCAACACAGTGTTATCTTATTTCACTTTACTTTAATCCTTCAAAGTATTCTTTATATACATATATACAAAAATTCATTTCTCAACCTCTTAAGTGCGTAAGGGTAGTTTCCAAACATCAAACTTCACTCAGCGAAGGAAAGCAACGTAGCCACGTACCTAGTGTTTTTTTTATCCATTTAAGGACACGGATTAAGATCAGGATAAACGTTTTTCCAGTATAGAGACACATATTAACTAAGTCACATTTATGGGACGAATCATTATCATACAAGCCGCCACGTAAACCCTTTCTAGAGTGATGATTTTTATAAAATGTTTAACCGTTTCTAGACAATATCCCAATAAAATATTACAGTAATAGCGTTGCCACGTGGAATCGTAACTTGTACCACAGGGCCCTTGAGAACTAATGAAAATACCGTAAATAACTTCCTTTACATTCCTGGTGCTTTGAGTAATATTAGGTCTTGGCTTGTCCTTTTGAAGCTATTATTTATTATCTATGCGTCTTTCCTTTTTCTGACCAAATGTCACATGTTACAAAGTATCCTTTAGCTCTTTGCTATAGTTTTTGTATTCATTGTTATGTCGCCTGTACAGAGAAGTGGCAACACATAAGGGGTCACTTCTCCGTCGTCTGTCTGTCTGTCTGTCCGTCCGTCCGTCCCGGACTACTCCCTAGACACTATTAGTGTAATGTCTTGCAAACTTTACAGAAATGATCAAAAGTAAGTATAGTTGTGCATATCGTCGGCATTTTCCGGTGCAATGATTTTTGTTAGAGATATGGCTCTTTAATGATTTTAATTCTTTGTCAGGACTTCTCTTACACCATTAAAAGCAATTTCAATGAAACTTTACAATCAAATACTTGTGCATATTACACGGGTATTTTTGGTCGAATGATTTTTGGCCAAGTATTTTGTGGTACAAAAAAGCTTGTCCAGACTACTTATTAGAAACAATTTCATCCAAACTTTACAGGAATGATCAGTACCAAGTTAAGTTGTGCATATCATCAGCATTTTAGGGTTCAGTGATTTTTTTTAAAGTAGAGGAATTGTTATAGTCCTGGCGGCGTTGACTTTGCGTCTGCAAACTTGTACCCGGATCATAACTTTTTTAGTTCTTAGTGTATTCTCTTCATACTTGACCACAACAACCCTTGGGACAAGACCTTTCAGTAGACCACACTAACCTTGACCTTCATTCATAAATGACCTTTACCTTCAAGATCAAATGTCCAAATTTTGTCTGTTCTTTCTATTATTGGCTGTAACTTTCTTTGTTATTTTTGAATGGATTGTCTTCAAACTTGAACATAATAATCTTGAAGGATAGCTCAACTAAATTAACCAGACAGACCTTGACCTTCACTCATAAATGACCATGACTTTGAAGTCAAATTATTGAAATTTTCATTTTTATATGCCCGAAAGAATGTCTAACAATAGAGTAAGGGGCCATTGGTCCTCTGTTAAACAATAGAAAGGTCATTGGCCCTCTGTTAAACAATAGAAAATAACAATAGAAATGGTCCCTTATTCCAATTTGGCCGAACGTCCGTCAGTCCGTTAGCAATTTGGTTTCCGAAGCATAACTTAAGTCCCAGTTGGCCTAAGGTATTCAAACTTCATAGAATGATTGTCCATATTGGGTAGAAAACCCCTATCGGTTTTGGGGTCACAATGTCAAAGGTCAAGGTCACTATTACCCTAAAACTGAAAATGGTTTCCGAAGCATAACTTAAGTTTCATTTGGCCCACAGTATTCAAACTTCTTAGGATGATTGTCCATATTAGGTAGAGGACCCCTTTCGATTTTGGGTCACAACGTCAAAGGTCACTATTACCCTAAAACTGAAAATTGTATCCGGAGCATAACTTTAGTTCCATTTGGCCCACAGTATAAAACTTCATAGGATGATTGTTCATATTGAGTAGAGGACCCCTATAGAATTTGGGGTCAAAAGGTTAAAGGTCAAGGTCACTATTACCTTAAAACTGAAAACAGTTTCCGCTCAATAACTAAAGTATTAATCAACCTACAGTTGTAAAATTTTATAGGATGAACAGCCATGTCCAATACATGACCCCTATTGATTTTAGGTTCATAAGGTCAAAAGTCATGGTCACAATGATCTGTACACTGAAAGTTGTGGTTTCTTGAGCATTACTACAACTTGATGGTGGTGCTTATAAAACAGCAATTGTATATAAATGAAGGTTCTTCAGCTATAAAGGAGGATTGCTTTTTGAAGGAGGTAATACTGTATTTAATTCCCATGTCTTACAAATATTTCATCCTTACTCACAACTAAAGCACTTTCGGGCATATAATGCTCCGCCTACCGGTGCTCTTGTTTTAGCTGTAACTGGCTGTAACTTTGCTATTATTGAATGGATGAACTTCATATTAAAACAGAACATTTTTAAGGACAAGACTTTAATGTTTATCAAACTCAAATTGACCTTGGCTGTTTTATGACCTTGGCTTTGAAGGTTAAATTTTTGTTGAATTTCCACTGATTTGTGCATTAAATGACCATATATATTTATTGGTGTGTGCATGTATATTATATATAAATGCGTATATATATTAATATGCAATTATACTACTTATGCATTTTTAATGAAATTTACAGGATTGATTTGAAGGTCAAGTACTTACGCATAGTAAACGGGTTTTCTGGTTGAATGATTATTGGCCGAGTTGTGGTCCTTGAATAAAAATCGTATTTTTGTGTACAGCTGAACAAAAACTTGTCTGGACTACTCCATAGAAACTACTGGTCCATTTTATCAAAACTTTACAGGAATGCTCAATGACAAGTCTAGTTGTGCATCCTACCAACATTTTTCGGCTAATTGATTTTTGTGAGAGTTATGGCCCTGTAACGATTTTAATTTTTAAAACTTGTTCGGACAACTCCTCTTATACGACTAATGCGCTTTCAATAAAACTTTACAGAATTGATTGGTAGGTCGAGTACTTGTGCATAGTACACGGATTTTCACGTTAAATGGTTTTTGTCTGATTTATGGCCCTTGACTAAAAACGCGTTTTGTCCTGTTAAGATTGTTTGTTTCTCCTGCTAAAGTAGCCGTGCTATCCAGCTAGCTAACGGAACGTCGGCGGTGCTAATCAGGTGCCCGTTCGTGCTAGAAATAATGCACGGAAGGGCACCTGAGGTCTTCCTCCACCAGTAAAGCTGGAATGTCGCGATATGACCTATACTGTGTCGATGTGACGTAAAACCCAAAACAAACAAAACAAAACAAAAACAAAGTAGCCGCAACATGCAATTGGCTATTATGAGGCGACACATGTAATCACTGATCGCTCTTGTCTGTTTACAGGTCTGTTACCAAAGTAAACATGAAACTGGACAAACAAGAACGTTAGGATGTATCGACAAAATGGTACTAACAAGCTTAATAAAATTAAGATTATTTGATTTATAGATTCATCTAATTGGTATTTTATTGAATTTTAAAAATAAAGTTAATCTGAGTGAAATAATTCGTTACTTCTGGCATTTCTTTTATTTCATTACATCAAATTATCATATTTTGTTGATAAGTGCTTCCGTAAGTATCACATATATCTAAAGATTAACTTTTGTCGGAGGTGCATGGCAAGATACGTCCTTTTGATAATTATAATATCTGCGAAGCAAGAAAAGTTTCATTACATTTCTTATTTGGAGTGTTCTTTTGTAAATATGTAATATGAATTATTCAGAAATGTGGTGTGAATACAAGTGGTGTTGCCAGCTTAGTTGGGAGGGACGTCAATGACAAGCAAAATCAATTCTGCCAAGAATGCTGTAGCACAGATAAATGTAACAAAAATCTTTGCAACTACCCAAAAAGTATGTTCTCAAAGTTACTTACATATCAGTTGCCTATGCATTCACAAAAAATCTTAAGGACTTTAAATCAGAACCAATGTATTCCATTAGACTTGTCTATTTTCAGCTTTAAATGTAAATTGATCAATTGATATCTTAAAACAACATTATTTGAAATACCATGATATATATTTTATATTCTTTATGATTGATAATCTTAATGAACCCGTTTAAATAGCAACAAAATAAGTGAAATGTCCCATTGAATGATAATTCGTATTACAGCTAACACATGTGTTGATGACGAAAAATTTGATTGTGCATTGCTACATTCAGTATTCAACACATGCATTGTTGATGTTAGTCATGCAAAGACAGTCTGTCCAAAATATTGCGGACTTTGTCCAGGTTAGATTATGTATTCTATGTAGGGTTTTGTAGTGTAAGTGTACAACATGCAAGTTAGTCTATTAATTTGTATTGGTAATATGTATTACTATATTTTAAACTATTAATATATCCGTTTGGTAGAGATGTAAAATTACATCAACTAACAAAGCACAATGTTACGAAAAACGGGTAAACGACTGATTGGGACAATTAAACTTTATGAGGTCTCTTTTTCATTTTTATGAATTCACGATGAGACTTCAAGAGTTTACGATTTCAACATATTGAACTCATAAACTCACGATTTGAACTTCACGGACTCACGAGTGTCACTTTAAAAATTCACCCTTGGAAGCACATCGCTTTTGCAAAAGTTATGAACTATATTATAAACGTTGATTGATGAAAATATTTACTGAAAAAGATGCAAAAATAAAATACTAGTTTCAAGAAATACTATCTTCACATAAACAAAATAATAATTTTTCATGCACACATTTATTCTGTCTGTCCATTACATAGTTGATGGGAACTGGGCTGCCTGGTCTTTGTGGTCATCGTGTGACGTAACATGCAGTAATGGGACACAGTCACGAACAAGGACTTGCTCTAATCCTACTCCAGTAAATCACGGACTAAACTGTTCAGGAAATGATTCAGAAACAAGAAAATGTTTCGAAATAACTTGTCCAGGTATCAACAAAATTCATGCATGTTCATTTTGCTAGAAAGCCTCATCAGATTGTGTTTGTTTGGTATGGTCGTATCTCGAAGGTCTATGCATCTAACTGGCCTTTATGAATAGCTAACCAGTAAGAACTTATTTCTCCGCAAAAGACAGACTACTAATCTAACAGGAGTTCTAAAACAGCGGTGAAAGACGAAGTATTATTAGACTGAATGTCCGAGATCAATTGTTACCGAGATATTCCGCCTCAGCTAAGGATCGAACCAGCGACCAATGAATTACAAATACTATAGAGTTAAGCAGACATATTGCAGCATCATAAGTAATTAATGAATTGAAATACTTTTAAATATTTATCTTTCATCATTATTATAGAGATGTGCTAATATTATTTTTTTGAGATAAATATTTATCTGACATTCATTTTCGCTTTCGTTATATAGTCCGTCGATATTTGATCACTTTTGTAACTGTTAGCCAACAAATTATGCCTGATTAAATTCGGAACCAAATTTAAAGTATCCATATTGTGACTGTCGAAGAATTCTTAGAATTTAGCTCAAAATGTATTTAAAGTTAATGGTGGATGGACCACATGGTCGAGTTGGGAAGCATGCTCTGTAACATGTGGCGTAGGATTACAGAGGCGGCACCGTAATTGCACAAATCCCCTACCTGACAGATTCGGACATCATTGTTTTGGAGATTCTTTGGACGATAAAATATGCTTACCGTCTCCATGTACAGGTAAGTTGTGAAGACGCAAACTAATTAAAACTGAGATTTCCTTTCATTTTGTACTAGATACATTTTGTACTTTGGCAGCGCGTAGGTAGCAGTATATTTAATAGCACTATATTCAAGTATATTAGGTTTCAAAGCTCGCCGGCCAGCGTAAGTTATTTTTTGTAAAAAGTATTTATACGAGAATTTTGCACCCAGGATTTCAATGTTTTATGGCTTTCTAATATTCCAGTATTTTCTACATTATAGTTAAGTCCCACATATTTCAATATCCATTTAGACGTGTACACCAAAAAGGTGTATAACTGCCAACAAAGACTAGCTAACTATGGAGGGCGATCGTTGCCAAAATTCCAGACATGTAATGTGTTCCTTTTGAAAACTACTTTTGAAAATGCGAACATGTATGTCTAGCATTTTTGATTGCATTCGTGCACAGCAAATGATATGCCTCTTAATCCAATCTTTTAATTGAAGGCACCAGCTTTTAAATAACAAGTTTACATGTAAATCTTAAAAACTGACCTAACACACATTTACAAGTTCGTATCTACCATTGCATATAATACATAAGCATGTTTACACACTTGTAGATATACATATATGTACCTGAAAAACACAAATGAAATGTAAAACTCGAATGCAGAAAATATAATTTAATAAAACGTGTTTCCAGTCGTAGAACTACAACAGTACATTTACACAGTTACATGTTTAAAATGACAAAAGTAGATTCACAAAGTTAAACGATTTTAAGTCATGCATGACGCCCCGCCCCTCTCTGAGTACTTACGATCTTCTATCACGGAAATGTACGGACAGGTATAATACCCGTCGCCTCTCTCCTATTTCTCAATAAAGTGAAGGAAAACACGGCGTCCATTCTAACTTTTTTTTTATTTCTATAAAAAGTCCAATATAATTTGTATCAAATGAAAGATTACTCCATAAGCTTTCTATGAGTGCCTCGGAAATAAAAATGAATTAAATAGATGTATTGATTTTTTTGTTTGTTTTTTTTAGTCTGAAAATAACACTCTCGAATTGGTAAGAAAAACACGGCGTTCCCTCCAAACTTTTTTTTTATTTCGTAATATATTTTGATAATTTTGGATTGAACTAAAAGTGTGATTAATACGATTTATGATATATAATTATATACTGCCTCAAAATAAAAAGGAATTAAATCAGAATGAATTAACTTTTCGTTAAAAAGTTTATCATGTTACTTTCTGTAAAATAGAGAAAATAAGAATCCCTAAAGAACGCTCAAAACGACAAAATTGAGAATGTTGCAGGCCGGTTTGATTGAGCCTGCTCATGGACGGTAATGGAAAGAGCAAGTTATCGTCCACGCCCCCCCTAGCACCGGCTTAAGCAAAATTCAACATGAACTGGTTCAATTTTGAATTTTGAAACATCCGCAGATGTGTTAATATGGTGATTATCATGGAACATTCAATGTGACACGTAAGTGCCATACCATGAAAAACGGCATATGATCCCCAAGTAAAAAAAAAAAAAAAAAAACACACACACTCTGAAATTCAGTAAGAGAAACATGGCGCCCCTACTTACTTTTTTTATTTCTTGGTCAATTTTGAAAATTTTAGAATATGATAAACAAGATCATCAAGGAAAGGCGGCGTTGATAAATTTAGACTCAAGTAAAAAAATTCTGGAAACAAAGTGATCCCTCGGAAGCATTAATCACAACAAAATTACATAAGAATTGCAGACTCGGTTTGATTGAGTCTGTACATGAGAGATAATGAATAAGTGCAACATCCCTCAACGCCCCCTAACACCGGATTGAGCGGTACTCAATTCTCAACACTTAATAGTGCTTAAGAATCCTTAATGAACTTTCTAGTGATGCCTTAAAAATGAAAATTAATTACGTAGAAGTATTAAAAATTTTGTTTCTAACTTATCGTTGTTTTTTTTCTCTCTTAAATCCACACTCATATATTCGGAAAAAAAAACGTCGCTTCCTTTAGATACTTTATTCAAAAAGGAAAAAAAATATTGAATGAAGTTAAGACCATAAGTTTTGAACAAGTATATTAAAAATCTTGAAACAAAGTGATCCCTCGGAAGCATTAATCACAACAAAATTACATAAGAATTGCAGATTCGGTTTGATTGAGTCTGCACATGAGGGATAATGAACAAGTGCAACATGCCTCACGCCCCCTAGCACCGGCTTGAACGGTACTCAATTCTCAACACTTAATAGCGCTGGCATCAATGATCTCGAAAGACCAGAAAAATATAACAACACTGAAGTGAAGTACGGGGCAACTTTTTACAGCTGCCTCACGGCACTTGAAACCTGTTGTTGTGAAGTATAAAAATCTGGAAACAAAGTGATCCCTCGGAAGCACTAATCACTACAAAATTACATAAGAATTGCAGACTCGGTTTGATTGAGTCTGTACATGAGGGATAATGAACAAGTGCAAAAAGTTTTTATTCATACTGAAAATACCTTATTAAAGATTGTACATATGTGCTACGGATAAGTATTTTCTTGATTTCGGAAAGGAAATCTCGGTGGCCGCTTTAAAATATACTTGCATAGTTTTTGTTGAAAATGAAATTTGTGCCAATACATTTTTCAATGATACCAATAAGAATATTGGGTGGTTTTTTACATTATTAATAAAATCACTCACTTGAAGTTGGTCATTGTTTCCCTTAAAAAATTTCCCAATCGCCGATGTTTCTCAGGAATATATGATAAACAAGATCAACAAGGAAAAGGCGGCGCTCAATGAACGCAACCCCACATGACCCAGCAACAAGAACAAGTGGCAAGAAGCCAAGGCGGACCCAAAACAAAACACATGACAGGGCACTAGGCAAAGCACGGACAGGCTAATCACTAAAATGATAAATAATTTGTAACTGATAAGAACACGATGTTAAAAATAAGGTAATGCATAAGTTATCTTCATCATAAATGGTAAAATCAGCAATTTTCAAGTGATGTTGTTACTGACAAAACTTTTGTAACAAATGTAACATATATATTTTATGAAAAATGCCGTATGTTGTCCTTCAGTTTTATTTAAAAATATGGGAGAGGCGCCGTTTTATACCTGTCCGCAATAGAAGTTCGTAAATACTCCGAGAGGGGCGGGGCGTTATGCTTGACTTAAAATCGTTTAACTTTGTGAATCTACTTTTGTCATTTTAAGCATGTTACTGTGTTAACGTACTCTTGTAGTTCTACAACTTGTAACACGTTTTCTTAAACTCTATTTTCCGTATTCGAGTTTTACGTTTCATTTGTATATTTCAGATCTATAAGTGTGCAAACATGCATATGTATTGCATGCAATGGAAGATACGAAATTGTAAATTTGTTGTCGTTTTTGATGTTAGTTCAGTTGTTACGATATATATGTAAACTTGTTATATAAAGGCGGTAACCTTCAAATAAAAGATTGAATTGAGAGGTTTACAATAAAAATGGTAGGCATACAAGTTCGCATTTTCAAAAGTTATTTTAAAAAGGAACACTTTACATGTCTGGAATTTTGGCAACGAACGCCCTCCATAGCTAACGACTACATGTATATGCAGCTGTTCTTTTAAGATTGATAGATAAAGCCTTCTTAGGCAACACTAATGACAAATTATGAATGGTACATTTGTATTTTACTTCCTTATATGTTTTCTTTTAAAATGATGCTAAAATTACATCTTACATACACTAACGCCACAGGGTTTATCCTTATCAGTCGATATAATTTATATTAGAAAAATCTAATCTACGGCAATTCGTATACGGCGTAATAGCCATCCTTTATATGCATTTCATTCATTAAAGCACCATAATGACGTCATTTTAAACTGACATGGGTTACAGGTACCTGAAACAAACTTTAATGTTCTATTTGGGTAATATACCATAATAAGACTAAAAGGTAGAAAATGGCTGCTATGCATGGCCATATAATTTGCTGAGCACAATTTTAATTCCACACACTGTATCATTTAAACCAATGTTTTTCACATAGATCATGTATCTCTCTAATAGGAAATATCATCCAAATTTTTTTAATTCATATCACAATGGTCCGAAAAATCCAAAAGTTTCCTCAAAATAGCCAAAAACTTTAGGGCACTCGCATTTTTTTAATTGGGGACCATACGCCGCTTTTCATGGAATGGCACTACTGTGTCTCATTGAAAATTCCATGATAACCGCCGTATGAACACATCTTCGGATGTTTCTGAATTCAAAATTTCACCATTTTCGTGTTTAAATGTTGAATTCTGCTTAAGCCGGTGCTAGGGTGCGTGGACGCTGACTTGCACTTTCCAGTACCGTTCATGAACAGGCTCAATCAAACCGAGCCTGCAACATTTACAATTTTGCCGTGTTGGGCTTTCTTTAGGGATTCTGTTTTTCTCTATTTCAACTTGTTCAAATATCGACGTCCAGCTATGTGACAATAAAAATCGCTAACCACGATTGTTTTCTGGGTAAATGAACACATTTCGTGCTGATTTTTATGACTGGCAATTGCTTAACCCAAAAAAGTTTCGGACAAAAAAATATCTGACAAACGTATATGATAATGTACCTTCAAAACCTTTTGTGTTATTATAGTATGTAGCCCATTGTAACATTTAAAAAAAAGTTAAGTCACTGTGACATGGGTGAGAGCTGAAGGTAGATTCATCGAGAACCAATGTAAACATAAAACAATTCACGTCTGACACGAAAGATTAAGATAGTTGAACATTTTATAAATAATTCTTGAAAAATAAGGTTTAATATATTTCCTTATCACATAACCGTGCCGTTTTTACGCCTCCATAAAAATGGTATTGCGTCAATGAAATATGATTTTTTCAAACAAGTCTTATTTTGTATATGTGATAAATAGAATATGATATTCGTGTAGGTTCATTACTGAATTAATTGAGCTCGCTGAATAAAATATTATTATGCTGGCATAATATAATTTTATTCAACTCGTTAAATAAGTTCAGTATTTAACTTACGCTCATTCAATATCTTCTATATTTTTATTTCTTTTGTTTTATAATTTTTATCCTTACCGAAAGTAGGGTGCAAATTGAACAGTCTAATACGAAAATCGGCAGCGGATATAAACTCCACTTGACAAAATAGACTTAGTTATCTCACTTATATTGTGGCTGATTTAGCACACAAAGCATCAAACGGAGCGATGTCGAACTTTCGTCTAGTCGTCCTGTCACTAAGGATGCACGCCAAACGACGCATTGTCGTGCGGCGTCTTGTCGTGATGTCACACTGTCGCTCGGTTCAAATCGAAGGATTGGCTATTTGTGCGTATATATATAAGCCAAGCGAGAAGGCGACACCGCGACAACGCGTGGCACGACAACGCGCCATATGTCGTACTTTGCTGGCGACAGAACGACAAGACGACAGTGAGACAACGCACCGTTTGGCGCGATTCACTAGCGACAAAGCGGTCGCTATATACAACGCAACGCGCAAAGTGTATTAAATCAGCCACCATACCCTTATTTTATCTTGTTAGAATCGTAAAATCATTGTCAATTTCTACGCATCAAAACTTCTAACCGGTGTTAAACAGCCGATGAACGCCGCTTGACTGGCTTTATTTCTTATGTAATCAAGTTATTGAAGTGCATTTGAACGTAGCTCCTCTGTTCTTTTTGTAAGATGGAGGCTGGACAAATTGGGGTGATTGGAGTGAATGTACTCTGTCTTGCGGAACTGGGATAAAGTCGAGATCACGCAATTGCACACATCCTAGCCCTTCGCCATTTGGAAAATATTGCGAGGGAGACCCTTTACAAACAGTATCTTGTAACGTGAAAGTTTGTTGTAAGTTGAAAACTTTTTCTTGTTGACGCTAGCATACGAGATCTAGATCACGAGGACCTTAAATTCATGATTCTTTTTTTTTAAGTTGTCAAATGTTTACATGTAAATTTAAATTCAGCAAAGTATGCTAACAGTTTCTGAAAAATTAAGAACAAAGCTATTACACTATTAGAGTTGCATTAAAGTTGAAAAGATGCGCTGGTAAATACTATTTTATACGGATGAGGAATAAATTGGAAAAATAATTTATAATAGTTCATGATATTGACACAGAAATGTTTTATTGCGAACACTCATTTCAGTCCTTACAGTTGCATTTATGGCTCGAACTGTGCAAGACTACAGTCCCTCTGTTGGTGATGTGATGATCTTTGGTACAACAATGGCGAACGAAGGACAAGCTTACAATAACTTAACAGGAATCTTTACAGCTCCTGTTAATGGAATTTACTCATTTAATACCCAATTTTGTTTACATAACAATAAGTTTTTGTACTTTGCTATTACTCTGGATGGTGCCCCCTTTGCAACGAGTCAGGTATATGATACCACTGTCGATAGGTGTAACTCCGTTAATGGATTAACATATCTTAGTGCTAATGCAAAAGTCTGGGTAAAATGCACGACAGTTACGGGCACCAATGTCCTCTATCAAGATAATGGTTTTCATATCAACTCCTTTTCTGGATTTCTTATCCATTAAACGTTCAATTGCATAGTTATAGAAAGTAGCAAACATTATCGCAATAAATACCTTATACTACTGCATTTCATTCAAGTTATGACTTTTTTATTTTCCTTTTTAACAGTTTTCTTTCGGATTTCATATTGTTTTAAAACTTAACTTTAATGCAGCCATTACCACTTTCTTAAATTTAAATAGGTGGTAGTACGTTAGTATCGATATTTCTCGCAAGTTAATATAGCTTTACTGAATTTAGTGCAATGTCTTTTGTGAGTTTTTTAGCTCACCTGTCACAAAGTGACAGGGTGAGCTTTTGTGATCGCTTTTCGTCCGGCGTCCGTCCGTCCGTCCGTCCTTCGTCCGTCCGTAAACTTTTGCTTTAAATGACATCTCCTCATAAACCACTGAGCCAATTTCATCCAAACTTCACAGGAATGTTCCTTTGGTGGTCACCTTTAAAAATTGTTCAAAGAATTTAATTCCATGCAGAACTCTGGTTGCCATGGCAACCGAAAGAAAAATCTTTAAATATCTTGTTTTAAACAACCCTAAGAGCTAGAGCTTAGATATTTGGCATGAAACATCTTCTAATGAGTGTCTACCAAGTTTGTTCAAATAAAAGCCCTGGGGTCAAAATTGGCCCCGCCCCGGGGGGTCATTGATTTTCCCTATATGCATATAGTAAAAACTTAAAAAATCTTCTTTTAAAGAACTGTAAGAGCTAGAGCTAAGATATTTGGCATGGAACATCTTCTAGTGAGTGTCTACCAAGTTTGTTCAAATAAAAGCCCTGGGGTCAAAATTGGCCCCGCCCCGGGGGGTCATTGATTTTCCCTATATGCATATAGTAAAAACTTAAAAAATCTTCTTTTAAAGAACTGTAAGAGCTAGAGCTAAGATATTTGGCATGGAACATCTTCTAGTGAGTGTCTACCAAGTTTGTTCAAATAAAAGCCCTGGGGTCAAAATTGGCCCCGCCCCGGGGGGTCATTGATTTTCCCTATATGCATATAGTAAAAACTTAAAAAATCTTCTTTTGAAGAACTGTAAGAGCTAGAGCTTAGATATTTGGCATGAAACATCTTCTAGTGAATGTCTACCAAGTTTGTTCAAATAAAAGCCCTGGGGTCAAAATTGGCCCCGCCCCAGGGGGTCATTGATTTTCCCTATATGCATATAGTAAAAACTTAAAAAATCTTCTGTTAAAGAACCCAAAGAGCTAGAGCTAAGATATTTGGCATGAAACATCTTCTAGTGAATGTCTACCAAGTTTGTTCAAATCAAAGCCCTGGGGTCAAAATTGGCCCCGCCCTGGGGGTCATTGATTTTCCCTATATGCATATAGTAAAAACTTAAAAAATCTTCTTTTAAAGAACCGTAAGAGCTAGAGCTTAGATATTTGGCATAAAACATCTTCTAGTGAATGTCTACCAAGTTTGTTCAAATAAAAGCCCTGGGGTCCAAATTGGCCCCGCCCCAGGGGGTCATTGATTTTCCCTATATGCATATAGTAAAAACTTAAAAAATCTTCTTTTAAAGAACCCAAAGAGCTAGAGCTAAGAAATTTGGCAATAAACATCTTCTAGTGAATGTCTACCAAGTTTGTTCAAATAAAGCCCTGGGGTCAAAATTGGCCCGGCCCCAGGGGGGGGGGTGGGTCATTGATTTTCCCTATATGCATATAATAAAACTTAAAAAATCTTCTTTTAAAGAACCGTAAGAGCTAGAGCTTAGATATTTGGCATGAAACATCTTCTAGTGAATGTCTACCAAGTTTGTTCAAATAAAAGCCCTGGGGTCAAAATTGGCCCCGCCCCAGGGGGTCATTGATTTTCCTTATATGCATCTAGTAAAAAACTTAAAAAATCTTCTTTTAAAGAACCCAAAGAGCTAGAGCTAAGATATTTAGCATGAGACATGTTCTAATGGGTGTCTACCAAGTATGTTCAAATAAAAGCCCTGGGGTCAAAACTGGCCCCGCCCCGGGGGTCATTGATTTTCCTTATATACATAGCAAAAACTTGAAAATCTTCTTTGAAAAAACCTAAATAACTAGAGTTTAGATATTAAGCATGAAACATCTTTAAGTAAATATCTACAAAGTTTGTTCAAATAAAAGCCCTGGGGTCAAAACTGGCCCTGCCCGAGGGGTGTCATTGTTTTTAACTATATGTGTATAGTAAAAACTTAAAAATCTTCTTTTAAAAAACCCAATGAGCTAGAACTTAGATGTTTTGCATGAAACATCTTCTTATGGGTATCTACCAAGTCTGTTCAAATAAAGCCCTTGGGTAAAAATTGGGCCGAGGGGGGGGGGGGGCTATATACAGGTGAGCGACCTCAGGGCCATCATGGCCCTCTTGTTTCCTTTTTTTGTGGAGGGTTGAGGGGCGGTTTTATGGCAAAAAAATGGTAAAACACATGTAGTGAGACTAAATGATCATTGCACTGTTAATCAAAGTGCTGCAGCACTGAATGCGACGGACATTGCAACCGGAGAGACATTAATTAAGGCTTCTTTTAGAAAAAAAAAAAAAAAAAAAAAAAAAAAACAAAAAAAAAAAAAAAAAAACACAAAATATTTAAACAGAGAAAATTTTTTCCATACAAGTTCGAGATTTGTAGAGCAATATATTTTGTGTCCCAAATTGATATAATTCAGATTTTCTACTTTCAAAGCACTTAAATACAGAATGAAATTTATGCCTAAAAACTCTGGTCAAACTTGTAAATCAGTGTCCTTGTCGATTTATTCTAAGAAATGATATGTAAGTAGAAAAAAAAAAACTATCAAACGAAATATTCTAGAATAAATCCAGGCAAATAACTTCAAACATAATAACATTATACATTTGAGAATGCTATTTAGAATTGCTTCGTGTTATATCATAGTGGGCATACAGACAATAAAATATAAGTCATTTGTATTTTTTATTTCTCTTGGATATGTCTCATTAAAAAAAATTGGTTAAAATCATCAGAAATTAATAGTGTATTTCTTAGATTTTTTTATTTACAAGGTAAAGATGTAGAGGCCAGAGCACATCGTTTTTATTTTAATTTAAAATGTCACATAAGCACTACAGTTGTTTAGTTGTCCTTTTCAACTTCACACTAAATTCCATTTTCAACTTGTTTGCTTTCTAACAATTGTATAGCATTTCTAAAAGTATTGCATTACAATCCGCTGGTTTATTAATTACATGTTTAATGTGTACTTCCTAATCGCCTGTCCAAAAATCAGAACAGGTGAAGCAGAATCTTTTTTTAGAATAGCGAAGGTTAACTCATATCATGACCTAGTAAAATATGTAAACAAACCACAAGAATCGGAAGTAGAACTGATATTATAACTTCCTTACCATGAAAGACTACATGGCGGTAAAGTGTCTTACATGCATTTTCAAAAATAGATATTTATACTAGCCATTGTACTGTATCTAATATATTAATAACTGCTGAATATTCAGCTAGACCCGCGGTATGAGTCACGAAAATAGTTCTTCTTTTATTAATGCGCGAGTTATCCTAGAGTCACGAAAAACTTTTGATTTGTTAAAATAATGTTTTGTATAATGTAGAAATATTTATTTTCCTACTAATAATGTCTTGGAATCAGAGGTTACACCTTTATTGAAGTATAATTTGCTGTCCTACTTTCTCGACAGCGGTAAATCGTTTCAGCAGTAATTTGCATATTGCGCAATAATACTACGGGACTACAACGTTTTTATCATAATATACGTTTCATATTTTAACTTGGATAACTTTATTTGAAATTGAAAAGGCTAAATATGCAAGACATTTAAGATATCCAGACAAAGTATGGGAGTTTTGAAGGATCAAATTCATGTACTATTTCTTGGGCTGTTAATTGGTTTAGGACACATTCATTGCGCGAGTGTAGCCAACGAAATCCCATGTGTAGATGACTTAGCTCTGAACGCGCCCGAGGGCGCGTCCGTCGCAAAAACCAAGTAATACAATAGAATTTGTTCATTGTCAGGTCTCTTAATTCTAACAATTCTATCATCGTTTCTTTTAAATTACACTTAATGTTATAATGTTGAAAATTTCGCTGAATTTCTGTTTCATTTACAAACATATCTAATATCTATAGTGACATTTTCTTTTCTTTTTGAATTATGTTAAAATTGAATTATACGAATTGAAACCACATGAAATAAACTTCTTGAAATTTCATAATTACTTGTGTAATTAAAATATCCTTGAATGGGTTCTAAATCCTGACATGTTTAATAAGAGAAATCCTATAATTCTTTTTTTATAAATCAGCATTTTCAAAATAAATAATTTAATTTTGTAAATATGAAGAATTATGATTACGTAACAAGTCGTTCTTTTAGATTGATCTGTATACAAAATTGTAAGGTAAGTATATGTAACTCTAGTATGTTCAAACATTGCATTTTGCTTTATAGTAATTAAATGATAGGAGTGATAGAATATGAGATATAATCACTAGTATAACATATTATACCTAAATTGGAACACCAAGAGCAAATAGGGAAATGTTTTAACTACAGCCTAATATTTTGACTTGTCTAGTCAAGACAATACTACACTCTCTTTAAAGCTTGATTTATATTTACAACAAAAGGCAAACGAAGGAATAAGAATAATATACCGTGCTACAAATACCATGATTTATAACTAAAGAAAATGAAAGCTATTCTCATAGACAAAATAAAAATGCTCTGCCATAACTTACTTTAAATCTTTTGAATAAGTTACAGTTGTACACTTTTTACTTGTACTCGTATCACCTATTGATTTTAGCATTTTATAAAATATTAAAAACTTGACACTTGATGGAATTTTCATTAATGGATCAAACTATCACTATATAGAGTGTGAAATGTGTGCTGACTTTACGATGTAAAAGCAATTATTGATATAAGCACCTTTTAAAGTAACTTTTTTTCCATTTAAAATTTATTGAATGAAATTGAATAAAACTGTTGGGCAATGAGATGTTAACATGATCGTTTGTTTCATACAGCTTCTTATCACATACCCGTGCCGATTTTGCGACTCCGTAAATATGGTATTGCACGGCCGTGCATA